ACTCACAATGATCCTCCTGCCTCAGCCTTCCGAATGCTGGAATTACAGGTGTGTACCACCACGCTCCGCTCAAAACATTCAAAATCATTTTGTCGGGGTGTTTGCTCTTGATTCACAATATAGAGCTGGCTAAAAATCCCCAAACGTACACACACCACAGCCTGAACGTCTGGCTGTCTTGAAATTCTCTCTGCCAGGTTCATCAGGCTGCTGCCCTGGGTCTCAGTCCGCTGCAGTCTCTGGACATGAACAAAATACAGACAATTTTTTTTTTTTAATGGTTCTGGAGATCAAACTCAGGACTCTGTGCTTGCCAGGCAGGTGCTTATGCCACCGAGCTATCTCCCCAGCCCATAGTAGAAATATTATAGCCAGTCAGACAGCGACAGGGCCCCAAGGAGACAACTCGGAAGTCAGCATACCCTGCCACTGTGGGAGAGACAGACTCTCCCGCTGTGGGCCTGACCTCAAGACAAAAGATTTTAAAAAATGCAGCCACATAGCTCCCCAGCGATGGACATCAGGGACTGATATTCTAACTAGGTAGCAATCACCTGAAAAAGCCAGGAAGTGTCACTAACCCAACCCCCAAAACGAAGAAGCCCTGTTCTATATTCATGCCCACTTTCTGTGCGACTCGCTTCCCCATTTCATCCTGATTTAGTCAGTCTCACCTGAGCAGTTGTGCTTGTATTCTTACTGGGGGACCACAATTTTGTCCCACCTCGCGTGTGAGTTCCCATGTTCTCCACCTCAGACTCACCTCACCTCCTGGTTTTTCTCTATTAAAATCCCTAGATGAGGATAACCCACTAACATTATAGACTGCTAGACAGTGTTAGATTGTTTAGCTGAATTCAACCACCTACAGTATTTAGATGCCAATAGAATATCCACCTCTGACAGGACACACAAAAAAAGGATACAAAGGAAAGATCATTTTGTATTTATATTTACAAAATAGTTAGGATAAATATACAGCTACTTTCGCTTAATTCAATGATAAGAAAGAGGTGTACTAATAATGTTTGGACAGGATATCCTGTCTGCTTCTTGTAATATGGATAACCACTAAGAAGATAACAATGTGCAATGTATTGGTTATCGAAACTGTCCTATTTTTTTTATAACTAACTATTTTTAAAAATTCTTTTATTTATTTATTTCTGTGTGTGTGTGTGTGTGTGTGTGCGTGTGTGGCCAGCTCAGCCCACCAGGGGGCGGGGCTGGCTGGCATGTGGTGCTGGGGGATTGAACCGCGGTCCCTGTGCTTTGCTAAGCTTGTTCTAAGTGGGCACTTTAGACCACTGAGCCATCTCACCAGCCCGAAACTGCCCTATTAATCAGCTGTGAAACTATCTCATTCATATTTATTTCTCAAAAAAAAATAGATAAAATAAAGCAAACAAAAAATAAACAAATAAAAATAAAATCCCTAGAAAAGACAAGTTCATTGGCATGGGAACCGCTGCGCTAGGTTGCCGCCCTCTTAGAAAAGACAAGTTCTTTGGTAACCCACTCAGGTCCCCTTCTGTCCCTCTCTTGGACCAAAGCTTTCTTTCCTCTAATAAATATATTCTGCTCTTAACCACCATTGTTCCCAAAATTTATTCTTCAGTTCTAGAGAACACGAACTTGCTGTAGGTACTTTTCAGGTTGGGGTTTCATTTCCCTAAATCAATAGCCTTGTATTAGGAGAAAGAAAGACCAGAGGAGGAGCAAAGGCAAGAAGCCCTTGAAGGTCACATCCCCAGCGCCCCGCCCCGCGGGCTCCAGCCAGGCTTTGCCTTCCAGATCGCATTTAGCTACAAACTTATCAGAGGACACTGTTGCGTATCACTCCTCTGTGATCCCCTCAGCTCCTCAAAGCCGGCCTGCAAACACAGGAGGTTTTAGTGGGCATCTAGATATAAACCAGAACAAGAGGTAGTATTTGAAAATAGCTAATTCGCTCTCGCTCTCCCTCTTGCTCTCCCTCTCCCTCTCCCTCTCCCTCTCCCTCTCGCTCTCGCTCTTTTTTTTTTTTTTTTTTTTTGCACCAGGACCTTGCACTTGGTAGGCTGGTTTCTATTTCCATATGATAATATAGAAAAAAAAAGATCATCAAGTTCTTTGGAATTTAACTGTCTTCTGGACGGATAAGAAACTTAAGGCCACTAGGCATGGTGGTACATGATAGGTTTTAGAGGCAACAGCGATAGCGGCAGCGGTGGCACAGCAGGGAAGCAGAAATAGGGGGAGGGAAAGCCTTTATTAACTCTAAACACACGGAGAGGACTGAGGGCAGGGGATGGGAGGGTCCTCTGACCTAAGACAGGGATCCTGAGGCTTTATGGGCCTTTGCCAGGGGCAGAGCTTGAGGGCAGGTTTAGTGATGTATAAGGAGCTTATTGGAGGTTCCCTGTGTGGGCAGGAAAGGTCAAAGGAAGTTGTACCCAGGGCTGGAGTGGGGAAGGAGGAGTGACATTGGGAAGATAAACTTAAGGGCTTCAGCCATCTCAGACGACCACCATAATAATTCAACAATTCATAGTAGGGCCATAATCTATCAGTGCACACCTGTGATCCCAGCACTCAGGAGGCTGAGGCAGGCTGATCGCTACTAGTTTGATGCCAGCCTGGGCTACAACTTAAGTACAAGGCCAACCTGAATTGCAGAACAAGTCCCTGTCTCAAAAATGAAAAAAGAGAGGCTGGTGAGATGGCTCAGTGGTCTAAAGCACCTACTTAAAACAAGCTTAGCAAAGCACAGAGACAATGGTTCAATCCCCCAGCACCACATGCCAGCCAGCCCAGCCCCCTGATGGGCTGAGCTGGCCACACACACACACACACACACATAAATAAATAATTTTTTTTTTTTTAATGAAAAAAGAGGGGCAGGGGAAATGGCTCAGTAGAATAAGCTCTTCCCTGGCAAGCACAAGGGCCTGAGTTCAATCCCTGGTTTCACCAAAAAAAAAAAAAAAAGAAACTTAATGCCTCACACGTGCCTCCCCAGTCTCTGCAGTGCATCCTTTTGTCCCTCCCTATATCTTCTCAGATCCCTAGCACTGTTTCTGAGCACCCCGCTGGGCTTCTGTGTGCTGTTACCTCCAAGGCCTCTTGGGTCACTAAAGCTTTGTCTGCCCAGGAAAAGAGCAGGGAGCCCTGGGAGTCCACTCCCGCTGCTTGGAGTAGCAGATGTGCTCGGGTGTGCAAGGCAGGCTGCCCCGTGTAGCCCTCACGGTCAGGGGCCCCGGCGCTCAGGCTAACCCACCTTTTGCCCTCCCCAGTTCCTACTGGAAATACTGCTAATGTAAATCACCTGTAGAAAATTCTGATTGCAGGTGTGTTTCAGAGGCTCTAGGGCAATGAACTTTACAGAATTCTGTTCCTTGTCTTTATGCTAAAATTTTGATACAGCTTTTAACAATACTATTTTCGAACTTTTCAGGAGTGAGAACCAAGACATTATTTTCGCTCTTAGGGGGGAAAACAGGGAAATTAGATCTTAAGAAGTCAATGAGTCAGGTGCCCAGGAAACTTGGGAACGCCTAGGGAGTGTGAGTTTGAAGGAGCGCAGGCCAAGATGGAAGGGAAGAGGACAGTGATAGATGTTGAGTTAAACGGGGACACGATGAGGACGGATGGGAAGGTTGGTATGAGCTGGTGTTGGGGAATGCAACGAGGGAATGAAGAGCAAAGAAAATGATGACACGAATGGAGGCGGGACCTAACCTTCCCTGCGCCTAAAACCGCCTCCTACGGTCAAATTGTAAATACTTCGTTTGTCGTTTTCCCCCGCTGCGCAGAATTTGCTAAGGCATACCAGATGCCACAAGGTGGCGCTCTGGACCACAGTTGCGGCCACAAACCTGCTTAGGGCCCCCCCCCCCCGCCCCCTCGTGTTCTGGCTCTTCAAGGGCTCTAACTAGAGGTCTGTCACACTCCAGCCATCCTCAGCCAGGCTATCATTAGTGCCAAGCCTTCCTCCCGGAGCAATGACAGTGTAAATTTCAGCGATGGCAGGAAAGGGGCAAATACAGCTGCTGTGCATTTTAGAATAATTGCTCGAGGCCATTTGGAGGCAGTGTTATAACCCATAGCTTACGCAGACGTATACAATATTTCCCTTCCCTGTTTTAAACCCCGCAACGCTCTGTGTTGTGAACTTGTGGATCTATTCCACTCGTGTGAGTTTGGAATTATCTATGCCCAATTTTACCAAGTGGGGTCTGCGGCCTGGGGGAGGCCCTGCCGTCCCCCCTGCGGGGAGACTCATCTTCCTCTCCTTTCGGGGCACAGGCGTCTGCCCTCCACCTCCTCCCCGACTCTGGGTTCCTGTGCTGGTCTCGTTCTTCCCTAGGTCATCCATCTGTTCTCGCATACACAGTTCCTTTTGGTCTTTGTTTCAAACGCCAGGGACTGATGGAGCCTACATTCTTACGTTGAACTACATCCCCGGTCCTTTTTATTTTGAGGCAGGATCTGGCTAAGTTGCCCCGTCTGACCTTGAACTTGCAGTCCTCATGCCTCAGCCTCCCAAGTGTCAAGGAGTACAGGAATGCACCATCACACCTGCCTTGTAAGTTTTTCTAATCTGTCACCTTTATCCCTCGTTACAGATGTGTGCCACCATGGCCAGCTAATCATACCTGGCTTTAAGCCACTCATTTTATGTCCCTGAACACAGAATTGAGAAAGGATGCATACAATTCACAATTTTTTCAGCACTGGGGATTTAACACAGGGCCTTTGCATTGAGCTACATCCCTCATCCTTTTTTATTTTGAGACAGAGTCTTTCTGAGTCCCTAAATTGGAAAGGCTGAGCTTGAACCTGTGATCCTCCTGTCTTACTCTCCCAGAGTGCTGGGTTTACAGGTGTGTGCCACCATCCACAGTAGTGAGTTCTGTTGTACAGCACTAAGTTTGTGATAATGCTGCTATAGCCATTCATTCCATGCCGGCTAAGCTCTTTTGAGCAACAGTAAGCTGTTGAGTCACGGCCATGCGGTGATGGCGGTGAGAGATGACACAGGCTTGTGTGAGCCTGAGGCTGAGGGTTCCCACTCCTTCACCTCTGACTTTCCATACCATGCCAGAAGATACACTCCTTGAAGGGTCAGCATCATGCAGGACTCCACCCATACTTTATATATGTATTTATGACTGGAAATTGTCCATTCTTATTAAACATGAAATTCTGATCTGCAGGAATTTCGATTTTTTTTTTTTTTTTTTTTTTTTTTTGCAGAACCGGGGATTGAACTCAGACCCTTGCACTTGCCAAGGAAGCGCTTATTCTACTGAGCCATCTCCCCAGCCCCAGGAATATCTACTGTTGAGTGTGGATTTGGGCTTGGAGGGCTGCCTCTGTGCTTAGCTTGATATCATTTCAAAGAACAACACCGCGGAGTCCAAGAAATTACACATGGGCCTCTATTCATAGCACACTTGGGTTTGGCTGGAGTGTCCATTTCAGCTTTCCTCCTCCGGCCTGACCAGATGTGCTCAGAAAATTTCGTTCACCCCGAATGTGTACATCTGTCAAAATCCCTGTCAATTTTAGCACGACTGCAAGGGGCGAACAAAGAGAGTTAGTGATTAACTTCAAAGAACTTTGTTGCAGAGGAATAAAGATATTTAAGGCCTATTTTGTGAACTAATTGCATTTGCATATTTATGGGATTTACTGATATAGCAGTAATTAAAAACTATTTAGTAGTCTTAAAGGACACATAACTCAGTTGCTGTTTGCATAATAAACACTTCCTTATTATGTTTGCATAATAATCCTGCCTCTTTGGAGAGACACTGGTCCATCCACTGGTGTTGTATCTTACTGGAAATGGTGGAGAAGCAGAGGCCCAGGGATCTGGAGGCTCCCTCTGTGGAGAGGGCACCTGGGAGGAGCACACTTGTCGGTCCTCTGACAAGGGGGGTCCTGGCCAGAGCTGCTGTCAGCGAACAGCAGATGAACACCTCAGATGAAGTCTTTGTTCATTTTGCTCAGACGTTACTCAAGCAGCCCACACCCTTAGGCTCTCGCATCTCCAAGTTTTGCCTTAAATATATCAATCCACTTGAAAGGCCTGAAAGAGATTCACTTCCCCACTCAGCTTTCTTAAGGAGATGTGTATAGGGAATAATTGGATACAATGCAAATTAAAAAGCTTTCTCAGGATGAGAAGCGTGACATTTAAGGAGAGAGATCACTTTCATGAAAAACTGAAGGCTGGTGCAAGGCATGATACCGCATTCAAAAGTCATGAGTAAACAAACGAAATTCCCCTGGGACGGTAAAGTTAGAAAGCCTTCCGCTCTCAGTCGGCCCACCGCAGGGCCATCCAGAAAGGAGCAGTGAGTGTGTGAAGGCGAGTCGCTCACACACACGAAACTCTCCCTCGTGGCAGGGTTTATCAGTCAAGAGCTGTAAGGGACAGGATTATCAGACTTGTTAAATGAGCTAACGAAGATCGTAATGTACCTGTGCTACACGTCATTAGCGGTGGCCTTCCAGGGGCGACAGATGCATGTGAAGAAGTGCGAAGGAAGGGAGGGGAAGCTCGTCCCAGAAGGGTTAGCGGAGAGTCCTGGCTTAGGAAGGCGCCCGCAAGACGCCCGGGGAGAATGCCACATAGACCATATCTCCATTGCGCCTGGGCACAAGGGGAACATGCTGCCGGCTCTCGCTGTAACGGGGCTGTGTCGCCAGGAGATGCCTGTCTCTGGTTCTCATTCTTGGGTAGAATCTGACAATTCAGAGAACTGACAGAAAGGACTGTGATAGGACCGGCCAAATAACTCAGTGGATTAAAGTGCCCTCAAGCAGGTGCATGGGCCAGGGGTTCGATCCCGGGTCTGTTGTGCCGGCCCCGCCCCCGGGGCGCGCTGAGATGGCAATTGAGACTGGGTATGGTGGCGCGTTCCTGTAATCCCAGCTCTTGGGGAGCTATAAATAGGCGGATCACTATGAGTCTGATCTAGTAGTGAGACTCTGAACACCCTGCAGACCCTTTCCTAAAAATACAAATAAAAGAAAGAAAAAAAAAGAAAGAAAAAGAAAGGGCTGGAGTTTAAAGATCAGAGCATCTCGCTGTGAGCTCGTCTCTTGGTGGTTGTTCACTCATTTTCTCATATAATAAATGATCCAGAAGGAGCAAAGCGAAAACAGGAAGATGCGGTGAAACACGGGAAAGGGCCCGGCACTTTCTTGTCGTCTGTGGGACGAGATCTGCTGAGGCAGCCCCAATTTCCTGCCTACTGTCTCTTCCGTACTTCTGTATCGGGGTTCCATCACCAGGTTGTTTAAATTTCTTTTGCATCCGAAATATTTTCAAATGTACAGCAAAATTGGCAGGGCAGTATAATGAACTCCCTGCTCTCACCCCCTCATGCAACTGTTCACAAACAAGTCCCTTCATGATGGGCCTCCAACCTTGCAGACTCACTGTGGGTTTTTGTTTTTGTTTTTTCCGGCAAGGATGTTCTTTTGTGGAAATGCAACACATTCAAAATTAGAAAATCAATATCGCCATGTTATACCACCTAACCCACGGTCTCCATTATTCCTTCTGCATTCGTGAGTTGGCGTTCTAATTCAAGAAAACACTTTCCCTTTGTCCCATTCATATGTTTATTTAAATCAATATAAATGTGTGTGTCAGAGTTTTATTTGGTGGGTTATATTTTTTAACTATTGCTATTTTTTTAATTTTATTTATTTATTTATGTGGGGGGGCAGCTCAGCCCACCAGGGGGCGGGGCTGGCTGGCATGTGGTGCTGGGGGATTGAACCGCAGTCCCTGAGCTTTGCTAAGCTTGTTCTAAGTAGGTGCTTTAGACCACTGAGCCATCTCACCAGCCCCTAACTATTGCTATTGATTTCATGTTCAAGTTGTCCCAGCTTTGATTCTTTGAAGCTTTTTGGGGCGGGGGGAGAACTGGGGATTGAACTCAGGCTCTTGCACTTTCCCGAGAAGTACTTGTTCCACTGAGCCATCTCCCCAGCCCTTATGTGTCCTTTTATCATGTCCCCGTCCTTCTTACTGTACTTCTTTGCTTCGGTATGAGATGGTATGAGATGCTCTCAAATCTTGTATTTTCCTTTCATCAGCTCTGGAGTCAGTCAATTTGATCAATTTTCCATTTCTTTTTTCCTTCCTTCTTTTTTTTTCTTTCCTTCCTTCTTTTCTTTCTTTCACTTTCTTTCCTTTCTTTCACTTCCTTTCTTTTCTTTCTTTCTTTCTTTCTTTCTTTCTTTCTTTCTTTCTTTCTTTCTGGTAGTGGGGATCAAACTCAGGACCTTGCACTTGCCAGGCAGGCTCTTATGCTGCCGAGCTATCTCCCCAGCCCTAACTCTCCATTTTTTCCTGTTCAGTGAGATTGAGATTTAGAAAGTAAGATCTCGGTGCCAGGTGAGCCTGTTCCTCTTGCTCCCAACCCTCTAGCACTAAGGCATATCTATGTATGTGTGAACATGCATACACACGCACACACATACACACACACACACACACACACACAAACATGTTGAAAATCATGCACTTATTCTGATGCCTCCAAAACCAACTCCACACCACCGGGGTCAGCTATCCTCATTTTCTCCCTTTCATACATTTTTTCCCCTTCCATTTTTGTAATTCCCTTTGCCATCCGTAGGAAACAATCAGGCTATGTTTTATTGGTAGATGAAAATTAGATAGAGAGCTTCTTGGATTCTAAACAAATGGATTAAGTAATTAGGACTAGAATCCAATACATACTTCCCCTGCCCTCATTTTGCTGTGCAAAACTTTAGCTCCAACTTGTGCTTCTGCATTTCCACTTATGATAGGAAACAGGCAGACGTTGGAAAGGGGCAGAAATTAGGGGTTTGCTTGTGGAGCCCCTAGGGCAGCGGGGGCACCTATGGCGCACAGCGGGCTCTTTGTTATCATTGAAAGCTCAGTGATGCTTAGCCACCTCTGACCTGGGGCACCTACCAGTGGAAGAGTGACTCTACAGAATTCTATGCAGTAACTTCTTCGGTCTCAAAGCCAAAAAACATTTCTTGAATGATGTTAATCATTAATACTTCTCATCTTTAATAGGCCTAGAAACATTCTCTCTTAGGTAGTTGGGTTCTGAATTGTGGTGAGTGACTGTTTAGAAGGCACTCTCATTTATGAAAAGTCAATGCTCCTTTTAATTAAGGAGGCTTAGGAAAACCAAAAAGCATTTTCCTATTGTACTGTTTGCAGTTGTTCTTCATTAGACAATACAGGTTGCCATTAGCTTTGTGTAATTCAAGTCCCATTTCAAATGCTGCAGATGTTACTGCAAAAGTCTGAGTTAGGACAGCTATTTGGCTCTCAATTATTCATGAAATCAGTGCCCTGGATGACAGCAGGAGCACTGCCTTAGGTAAAGGCTGTAAAGGAAATCATATTAGTGTGGAATTTCCTCTCCTCAGGGGCTCCTCTTATATTACGTTATTCACTTAGCTATCTCCTGTCAGGAAGATGGAACTGTTGGCCATCGTCTCATCCTGGGGTGGAGCCAAGTGGACAAGAGAAGGGGCTCATGATGGCATCAACTCCCAAGCCTCTGTGTCACGCTGGCATCGCCTTGGTCCAACTCAGCCTCTGCACAACAGCACAAATTGGCAAACAGAGCAGAGTGGAGAGGCGATCTCGGGGCACACTGAGTGGCCTTCCATCCCCGAGGCAGGCTTTCATTTCTCCTCGGCGGGACCTGCCCCGAGCACTGGCAAGTGTGATGGCTCCTCCGTGGCTCTGGATCCTGGTGGCTGCTACAGGTGAGTCCCACGAATGACCTTCCTGGCACCCAGTGTCAACCCCGGGACGCTAGAGACAGTACGTCAGCTGTTCACTTGTATGCATTGTCTGTGAAACACGGTTCCTGGGAAGCCACCCAGGGACCAACGGTTTGTTTCTGACCTTGTCCCTACTGTCACACACATAGGTACAGCCTCCTACGGCGAGAATTAGGGGGCATAGCTGCTATTGGCTCTATGTTGT